AAAATTGAAGCGTCTTCTACTCAAAATCTTTTTAGGAAATATCTGTTTCTTCTAATTTGTAGTGTAACCATTTCTTTCCAGAAATATAACCAAGAAAAAATGAGAAAATGGAAAACCATAGCCACCAAAATCCTTGAAGCACATCCAAGAAGATTTTCATTTGATAGAGACAAAAGTTTGACTCAAAACTATTCTTGGCAATACAGCAACTGTACTAATGCTAGGAGGCATATTAAGACTGCCTGCATAAGCATTTCTACCACAGAGATGCTTATCACACAATTCTTACAATGTTCTGAGGGCCAAACCACAGGAGATCATTGATTTCTTATTCCATTTGGGCCTTAGTTTCCAGCTGCTGGCTGTTTGTTTTTTTTTCCCCATCCTGAAGAGCTAAGAAAAGCAAAGTAAGAGTCATGTAGAACTAAGGCAAGTTCTAAAAGGTATACAAGTGTTTCCATCACTTTGAAGCTCAGACTCTTAGGTAAATTTAAATACAATTAAAATAATCTCCTTCAAATTGAGCTTGACTTCTGATGACTTATGTGACTGAACTCCTGAGTAGAAATGCACAGGATAGCTTAAAATTTACACATACAGAATTCTACAAATTGCCCTTTAATCTAGTGCCCTCCAGGTGATGGTGGGGATAACTGAAGTTGAAATCTAAACATCTGGAGATCAACATATTGTGTTGTATTTTCGAAATGTTTCTGTTGCTTAAGAAAGAGATCTGAAGCATCCACGCTTGGCTTCTATTGGTGACAATGCTGACATAAGTGGACCATTAATTTAACCAACTGAAAATATTTTTTTATATTTCTAAAATCATCACACCATCTTTGAACTGCAGTAATTTCATTTAAGAGTTCTAATACAATCTCATGCAGTGTTATATAGATGATGAAATGTTCTCCAATGTGGTTTCCTGATTAGTGAAGAAGAATGCCTTGGGTTATGGAAACGAAGGCTTGGCCTTGCATTTATTTAGCACAACAGAACTATTTATATGCAGGCAGCAACTACTCCACTGTCCTGCTTCGGTCAAGCACAGAGCCACCTGCTCCTGCAAGATCCCACTGTTGCTATAGCAAACTGGGCTCAGGGGCCAAGAGGAAACAATAATAAGGACTTAGTATTAAGAACTGTAGGATCAGTATGAAATATTAACCAGCAAGAAAGCATCTAGATTTTTAACTCTAACCCCCAAATGAGGTTTCTGCTAAGTGAGTAATATAAAAGGTGATGAGACAAATATTCCAACTGTCAGCTCTTTGTTACAACATCTGAAAGTACCAACAGGCTGAACTGGAGTTCAGTCAAGCAGACTGGCATTCTGCTGAAAACTGCTTTAGTAGGTGCAAAGAGTTTCAGATCATATTTCCAGATCAGTCTTTTTGGTTTTGCGTGGACCCTTCAGTTATTCCATCATCCATCAGGCTTTCTCCAATCTCATTCTCATTAACCTCTTAAGAAAACACTGGTGCCCTCTTTAGTTATACAGTCTTATTAAGCAGATATTTCCTATTCTGCTTTTCCATGTGTTTGAGGAATGATAACCCACCTTTTATTTATAATACCTTTATCCTTTTTACAATAGAGTTCCACTACAGATCCTGATCCCCTCTTATTGTTGGGACCGTGACCCTCGCCATCCATAAAAAGAACCCCCAGTGTTAAACCTTTTAGGGATTCTAGAGTTCAGTTTACTTTTTTTATTAACCCTTTGTTTTGAACTTTTTACGATATTTTATGTCTATTGGAATTTTTATTTAAAGTAACTCCTGATGAATGCTAATATACACATTGCCTAAAACAGACAACTAGTAATACAATGGAACCAGCACACTGGGTTCGATAACAGTCCCACAGCACACAAAATATATGGAGTCCAGGGGCTATTTGCTCTTCCGTGGATAATTCCTAAATCTGACTACAGTGATGGCTGATGAGCGAAGTCAGAAAAAACAGGGTAGGTTGGTTTTTTCTCCTTCATTTATTCCTAGCTCAAACCTCTCCAGAAAGAGAAATGCTAACAGATTATTAATCTTTCTGAACAAATGTTGGCAGTTATCTGAGCAAGACAAACCTCACTGCTATCTTGATCATAATAATCCAGACCAGCTGGATACCCTTGAATAGACTGGCTTCCTTAACAATTCCTCCTTGTTGTCAAGCAGGAATATAGCATTAATATTGTGTTAATATTGTTGATTTAGACAACTGCCAACTTATTCTTGATATTTAATAACTTGTAAGTAGAATTATATGTATTGTAATATAATGCAATAAAACACACACCCATTTCCAGTGTGGGAAAAATTCTACAAAACCATGTGAACTTAAAAATTGCTTCTGGTTTCTGGTAACTGAAATATTCTGTGTAATATGGCACATAGGAATATTAACTGCTCAGCTAGTTTCAATAGCATTATTTTTAACTGATTGCTTTAAAAGTTGAAGTATTACTTTTATGAGCATTTCCCCCAAGACTATCAATCCTTGACTGCTTCATATTTTTCAGTAATAACACTGGACACAGAGTTTAGTCAAAAGCAATGCCAAGTTTTTATATGGCTTCCATCTTCATTACTGTCAAGTGTCAAACCTATAAAAAACTAATTCAGAGACTTGAAATATAAAAATTGCTGCATTTGTATTTAGCTGAAAAGAAGACATCACCTTCCGTTGTGTGTGAAGCAATAACCAAGTCAGCCTTCCTCAACCTGGTGCTCTTTAATTATGTTGGACTCCAATTGGCATGTTGGCTGGGGATAAAGACAGTTGTAGCCCTGCACATCCGGACAGCACCAAGATGGAAAAGGGTTTTGAAAAGTAGAGTTCTGGGAGTTGAAGTCCACACAACTTAAAATTACTGAGGTTGAGAAACACTGACTCAGTAACATTAAGTGCTAAATATTTTTTCTATAAATCAAATTATTTTACAAGCAGAAATGTAGCAATACATTTTTTTTAAAACTTAATCAGCCTTGTTATCACTCTAAAATTCCGTTTGTCTTTAGAGCATATTAAGAAATAATCTGTTATCTCAAAAGTAAAAAGTGCTAAGCTTTGGGAGACTGCCAGAGAATATCAATGTGTAGGCCAGCCTGGGAAGTTAGAACAAATATCCTGGAAGAAGGCAATGGGAAATCACTTGCTTATTTTTGCTAAAAACCAAGTTGGATTTACCCATGAAATCATGCAGAATCAAACCAGGCTTGAAGAAGACTTCAAGACTAAAATGAATCACCTCATAGAGACCTGAAGTAGCTAAAAGAGGCTTAACCTTCCTTTTTCAACCTTACCTCAAAACGCAAGAATTTATAGCTCACGACGTGGACTTGCTCCCAATTCTGGGAGCTTCCAAACATCTCTTAAGAGCCTGTTCTGGGACTGCATGGGGCAATATTCTGGTCTTTATTTATGGAACTGAGATTACATCTTTTCACTCTTAATAAACTCTTAGCAGAACATTAAATGTTAATGTTCACTATACATGAAAATACTGTTGAATTTAATCTTGTGCTACCGGGTAATTATTTTAAGAAGAGAGAGAGGGAAAATAATCAACTGATAAAACTATACAACAGAAGAAAAACTAAATGGACAAACATATATGGAATGGCAACATGAAACTAAAGGAGAGATGGAACAAAGCAAATCTTATAAGAGTTCACAAAACCACTTGGGTGTGGCCAGACAACACACCCCATGCCTAACAGTGATGCCTCCACTAAAAGTGAGTCTTCTCCAGCTAAACTTGGGAGGCAAGTGGATTTAGGCTTTGCTCTTCAACAGGGCTCTGTCTTGTCCTTAAAAGCCCAAATTAGAATAGTTCTATTAGCTTCCAGGTTGACACGAGGCTTTTTGCTGTCTTTACCCAGAATATTTTAACATACTCCTAAAACGTAACATCTGAAAAGTAATACATTTCCTGCCAAGTTTTTTTCTTTCTACAAGAGCCCTAACTTCTGCCATCAGACCAGTTGCCTGAAAATTCTGCTCTAGCCTAGGGTAACCTAGTAACCTAACTTCAAGTTAAAATGCATCTCAAAGCTCGGAGAAGAACAACAAAGTGCACATGATGTTATGTTGAAAACAGTGTAGGAAATTAAGCATCCATCAATGCAAATAGCTAACAACTGTTACAGTATTTGCAAAAATACCGTTTACTCTTTGGGAATTAAGTACCAATACTTTAGGGCTGTTTGTACAACTTTAAATTGGTTTAAATTTCAAGTTCTTCCGCGCAAATGTTTTGTGGGTCATAGTTTCTCTCTCCTTTGATCATTACTCTGGAAAGAGGCTTTAAAATATATATACATATATATATTTACTTCTATCTGATGGACGAGGTAGCAATTACTCATGACTTCCTTTTATTTGGTTTTTCCAGACAAAAGACAGTCGTACAAGAGCATTTCATACTGTGAAAGACAGTTGCCAATACTGTATTCCCTGCACCACAAACACTTCTGGGCAACCACAAGATTTCAGGAGGCTTCATAAAACAAACGCCTCTGCTGGATGTTTCTCGACAGCTTATGCAGCATAACCGGCTGCACGTTAACCGTCTGATAACAGGTAAAGGGAAGCAGCCCCCGGTGCATTAAAGGAGGGTAATTCAGAACAGATTGAGTTAGAATTCATGTCAAAACACGTTAAAAGCAAGTCACTGTAAAAAGAAAATAAAACTGAGGAAAACAGTCTCCATGGCTGATTTGAAAAGTCCGGTTTTAAAGCAATGGCTAAGCCACAGTTTTTACCGATTACTGCAAAAGAAAAAGTTTGAAGACGTGAAACCATGGGGAAAGCAAAGGCGGTGTTGTCCTATCTAGGTGAAAACGGGCGCGCGCAGACACACACAAACCAATTGCCCCATGAGCAGGAGATTAACATCTTTCCCTCTGCCGCCAATGTTTTTACACACTTCACTTTCAAGGAGGAAAATTCGGATCCACCAAAGTCCGGCCACGGGACCTCGCAACAGCACCCACCTTCTCCGGGCTCCTTCACTAGCCGCGCGGCATCCTCAGCGCGCAGGCACCCCCGAAGAAAAGCTCCTTCGCTGCGCTCCCAGCTTCTTTGTTTCTCTCCAGCCTGAGCACCAGCGTGCTCGCTTTCTCCCCCAGGCGCCCCTCCCCGGCGGCGCGAAGGCAGCGGCCACGGGCTCTCAGGCGCTCCGGCCTCGTTGCCAGCTTCCCAGCCTCTTCCAACGCCTGGCGAGGCGCAGCTCCCTCGCCCTCCTCTCAGGCGGGTACAGCACCTCCTAGCAGCAGCCGCGCGTTACCAGGAGGGGGCGAGCTGGGCTCCAAACGGGTCTTCAGCCTCTGCTGCTTCGGAGGAATCCAACGAGAACCGTGCGCAGCCGGGCTAGGAAAGCTAGGATGGTTTCGGCTGGAGAAACCGAGGGCGCCGCCCGTGCAGTTACTCTTTTTGTGGGGCGGAAGGCAAATTCCTTTACAGAGAAGGAAAACCTTCCGTGTTCGATATGACTTATTCCATACTGAATTTGTGTGACTGCTGCCTTGACAGCTTCTTTCGATCTCGCAAGTCAGTTTTCCCCCAGCCGATGTTCTTCAGCCGTCTTGGACTCTAACTACCACGTTGGTTGGGGATAATGGGAGCAGTTGTAGGTGGTAGCCCAACACATTCGGAGAGCACCAAGGTGGGAAAGGAGGATCTACGGTGTCTTAACTTGTTTACGTTAACAAATGGAAATTCTTGCAACTTAAAGCCATCTGGAATGATAAGTCCTTGCCTCCTTTGCCACCTCCTTTGGGTGTGAAAAGTGCTACGGGGGCCCTCCTCAGCTTCCTCTCCACAAGGCCAAACATGTCCAGTTCCTTCAATCTCCATAGGAAATTCTAGTTCCCTGCTCATCCTTGTTGCCCTTTTCTGAACCTGTTCCAATTTCTTGGAAACCTTAAGATATGGTGCCAGAACTGTACATGACATGAGCTCTGATTAATGCAGAATAAAGTGGAAGTTTTACTTCCCCTCATTTAGGTTCTATCTGCTTCTGTTGATACAGCTTAAAATTGGATTGCTTTATTTTGCAGCTACATCACACTGCTAATTTAAATTAATATTTGCATTTGTATTGATATTTCAGTTACTGTTCCAAGATCTTTTTTTATTGTTGCCAGGCCAGGGTTCCCCAGTGCTACACCTGTGCATTTGGTTTCTCCCTCCTTAGTGTGTATCTTTGTTTTCAGCCTAAATATATAACCTATGAAGATTATTTTGTATTTTTTCCCTTTCTTCTGGGGCATTAACCAGCCATTTAATTTTGGTGTCATCTACAAATTTGATTACTCTTCCTTCCTTAGCCATATCATTAATAAAAATGTTGGTGGTACAGGGCCAAAGATTACCCATGTGGCACTTCATCTGATATTTAATTCCAGTTTGATGAGAACATGGCACAGGCTGAGGGGAAATTATGGAAGTTGAAATCCAACACATCTCAAAGGTACCATGTTGGGCTAGGCTAGAATAAACACACATACTATAGTGTGTAGAGTACAGGATACTCGTTAGAGCAGAGCTTTCAACAAAACAGTATGCAAAGCAGTCTGCAGGATCCAGTGCTTTCATCAAAATGGCAAAAGCAGCATCAAACAGTGAGCTCTGTCCCTTTCATATGTCATGATGCTTATCTAAAATTTATTTATTGATTGATTCTTTTAATTACACCTTTGATATCTGTCGGTGAAAACTCACTTTTTATTTATATTTTAATAAATAAAATTTTTTAAATGATGCTTGCATAGATCTGTTGCTAGAAGACCAGGCTGTATGCATGTTTATTCAGAAGTAAATACTGGCAGGATCAATTAGCTCTCATTCATTTAAAATAACTGTCACAGAAAGAAACATGAAGCACACTGCATGCACACTGCTGTTAGGGTGTGCTGGTCATATAGGAAGTGGTTAAAAAGTGTGAGGGAATCCTCACATATTCTTAAGGCAAGCCAGTTTCTGATCTGCAATATTACAGCAATGTTTCTAATGCAATAGGCAAATGTTCTCAGCTATAGTTCCCTAAAGTGCAGTACTGAGATTAGTATAATCAACAGCATGATTTTTAAAATGCCTTTTTCATTAATTCATTAATTTCATTAATTCCTTTTACATTCTGTTTTTCTTCTTTCAAGAAGTTCAAGATGTGGTTCTCAAAGAATTTTTTTTTTTATTTCTACAATCACTTTTCTCTGTACCTAACATAAAGCTTTCATTAAAAAGAAAAACTCCTCTCTCTGTGCAGAAAACAAGACTCTTGTGGCACTTTAAAGTTTATCAAATTCATTATGGCATAAACTTTAAATTCAGTACTTGGAGCCGCTGCTGTACACTCAATAAACCCACGCTGCATTTTCAATTGCTTTCTATAGGCAGTTCTCACATACGCTCTGAATGGTAAAAAAATAGAATGTTCTAAACATTATTGTGACTCTATCAGCATTCTTATCTCTAAGGAAACGGGAGTACGTCCCTCAGCGTACAGCTTCGTTCAGCGTCCGTCAGTGCGTCAGTGGGGCGCGTCGGAGGAGAGGTGAGAGCGCATGCGCCGCTTCGTGGTTGTGTCGCAGGATTTGCGTAGAGCGGGCCTTTCCTTTCGGCACGTTGAACGTTCTCGGTAGAGGCGGGTGGCGGGCGGCCTTGTGTGGTGGTCGGGGCCTAGGAGTCGGTGTAGCGCGATGTCGGGGGCAACTGGCGGTGTGACGGGCTCAGCTCGGAAGCGGCTGCTGAAGGAGGAGGACATGACAAAAGTGGAATTCGAAACCAGCGAAGAGGTGGACGTCACCCCCACTTTCGACACCATGGGCCTACGGGAGGACCTGCTGCGCGGCATCTACGCCTACGGTGAGGGGGGCTGGATGGATGGGTTGAGAAGAAGAAACGGAACTAGTTGTGTGGCCACATCTTCAGAAGAAGCGGTAGTGGGAGCGAGGAAAGTCGAAAGCGACGAAGGACGGGAGGGCTTTCCGGCTGCCTTTTGCGTTCCGCCAGCCTTCTCTAGGCGCGTTCACCCACCCGTCATTCCAGCCAGCTTGGCTTTAAATGCTCGTCACTAGGAAACGCGAGCAAGGAAGGGCCAGTTGTAGTCAGAGTTCGATTATGGGCTCCCTTTGGCATTTGTTGATAATTTTGTGGAAGCCTCTGTTAATGGCATTTCTAAGCAATCCCCAAGCAATCTGAAGCTGCTTGAAACTCTGGATTTTCTGCTTCAAATTCTGTCTTTCGATTTAAAGAAGTGTACTTTTTGAAGTGAGATGTAATGGGGTTCATAGTTTTAACTCTTCTGTACAAATTAAAATTCTTGGTACATGCCTAAGTGAGTCGTAGTTTTGTCATGTTACATGAACCTAGAGATCAGTTAATTTCCAACTTATTTCCCAAATAAACCTGCGATATGTAGAGTAATTGTTATTTTGTCAGGCACTGATGTATGAACCCAGAAGACAGAGTTATCTCCCTCCTGGCCTTGGGAACATAGAGTTAGAGCCTAAAACAGCCCTTCAGGAATGGGTCTTTTTTAAACAGTATACTTTGCTTAAAAAAAAAAAAATTATCTCACACACACTCTTTGTAACATGGGTAATGAGTGTTGTCAGCTGCAAAAAAGACAGGAAAACCAACAGAGATAGTTCTTGCTGCCATAATTGAAGTAGATCCTTTGGTCATTCCTGTGGGATCATTAGATAAGTCATTTATTCAACAGTAGCAACAAATTTATTCAGTTATATTATATGGATGCAGCCTTAGAGCTGTGTTACTCTTGGTTCTGGCCTCAACTACCTAATGATATCCCTAAAGTAAAGTAGCCTTCCCATTAGATTCAGGCTGAAACATTACTAAAAAATTATTTCAAATAAGTGCTAGGGAGCCTGTTTATTTGCTTATTTTAAATAATATATGTTATTATATTAACATAGTTTCCATTGTGTTTCTTTATGGTTTGTTTACTATAATATTGTGGTTAGTTTCAATAGTATAGTTTGCGGAGGGAAAATCTAAATTGTAATCTAAAAATAATCGTTTTTAAAAAATTTTCTAGGTTTTGAGAAACCTTCAGCTATCCAGCAGAGAGCAATTAAGCAGATAATTAAAGGAAGAGATGTGATTGCACAGTAAGTGAAATCATATACTAAAAGGAAAGATTGAAGAGTATACTTTGTGATGTTATTATTTTGACAAAGAAAAAATAAATTGTTCTTGATGTTCCTTCATCATAAATAGTAAGGAATGAGTCCTTTGGAAGTAAAGGACTAACATAAGTTTAATGGTATAATTCTAAGCACATTTAATCAAAAATAATCCTGCTAAGTTTCATGGGACTTGCTTTTTCAGAAGTATACTTAAAACTGCAGTCTCACAATCATTTAGATTTTTTGGCATCCTTTTTTTCTTTTATGGTGACACTTGTATAGTGGGATGGGCAGCATATATACATTTGAAAAATAAATAAATAAAACATCCATCTATACATTTTATTCTACATGGATTTCTAAGTAGTAGTCAGTGATCCCTTACAGTCACCAAATCATCTGCATTTTGTTTTAATTACTTTTTTTCTCCAGTTAAAACATAGACAATAATTTTTCAGTTTTGAAAAGGGAAGCTAAAAATGAGAATATAGTTCTCATTGGTTCTATAGGTTGTGTTGAGCACTTTATATTCACTTTTAAAAGTTTCCTTCTCACATTATGAATTATCTTAATAATTTGTTCATTTGGTGAATTTGCCATTTCTTGGATACAGTAGAACTTTTTGTATTAATGTTTTTTAACATGTTTATCTTTCTTCAGAAGTATATTTCAATGTAGTGCTAATATGTCTGTCTGTTCCATCTAATAATATTGTCTACAAGGTAAATTCTAGTTAACATAGTGTCCATTCTTTGAATGTGTTTATAGGAAGAACATAATATTTTATGATCCTATTTTAAATTCAGGATCTGTACAACTGTTGAAACTGGAGTTAAATGATGTAGAAATATAGTAAATGCAGCTGTGTCCTTGTGGGTCTATTACTGGAATACTTTATTTTATTATGTAAATTTGACTGTTTAATTTTCATTTTTGAACTTTAGCTGTGTTAGAACATGATTCTTTTCTACTGTAGTAAATTTGGCTGCAATTCTGTATATACACATAGGAATAAATTTCATTGAACTCAGTAAGATTTACTTCTGAATAGATAATTATAAGTGGAACAGACGTTCCATGTGTACTTTCATGATTTCATTGTGGACTAAAACAAGCCATTCTCTTTTAACTTTTGTACCTCATCTTTAATATAAGGTAAAAGTAAGAAATGCTATTTTTTTCTTATAGAATTCTGGAACAATACATGTAAACTGCTGTATGTTTGGGAAAATGCCACATAATTATTAATTTAAAGAGAGGCATCCAAAGTCAACCGCTTACTAGTTTAAAAAGTGTGTTTGTGTAACTACCAGGAGAGACTGGAACTGATTGATAATTAACATAATTAACATTCTGTCTAAAGTGTTTTGATGTATTAAATGAGCTGATACAGTGGAACCTCGGGTTACGAATTTAATTCATTCCGTGACTCTGCTCGCACCCCGAATTGGTCGCAACCTGAAGGAAATTTCCCCATAAGGTTCAATGTAATTACC